CATAGGGGATACATTCCAACAGCCCCAGTGAATCCCTGAAATCACAGATGGTATCAAACCATATATATGCTGTTTTTTTCCTATACATACATACCTGTGCTAAAGTTTAATATAGAAATGGGGCACGGTAAGAGATTAGCAAGAATAAAAAAAATAAAACAATTATAACAATATTTAGTTGATATGAGATGATAAAATGCCTATATGATGACAAGAAGTGAGGTGAATGTCATAGGCATTGTGACATAGGGGTAGGTAAGCTGTTATTGACCTTCTGATGATATGCTAGGGGGATATCATCAGACTTCTACACTACAGTTGACCACAGGTAATCAAGACCACAGAAGACAGAACCACAGATAAGGGGAGACTACTGTATTACAAGCCAATAGCATAAGATGCAATTATATTGTAAACCAATAACACACAATATAAAAAATAGATGAAATATTTAGGGGAACCAATCATAGTAAAGTTGTTATCTAATGTCATCTAAAATTCAATATTTACATTCACATCTTTAAAAAGCCAGTTACTCAAAGTACATTTTTTAAACAGATTTTATTTATTTATTTGAGATAGAGTGAGAGAGAGAGAGAGCACAAGCAGGGGAAGGGGAGTGGCAGAGGGAGAGGGAGAAGCCTACTCTCCACTGAATAGGGAGCCCAACTCGGGGTTCGATCCCAGGACCCAGGATCATGACCTGAGCCAAAGGCAGATGCTTAACCGACTGAGCCACCCAGGTGCTCCCAAAATACATTTCTTTATAAGTTAAAGTTCTGTTAGCTGGTGCCCTTTAGTCGTCATTGTCCAGTGGCTCTTCCCCCAGTAGCCTCTTAAGAAACTTCTGACAGGAACCCGAGGCTCAGCTATTGGTCTCTGACATTTTCTCCTTACAACTTATTCAAAGAGGTATCAACCTAATTAAGCCAAAAAACTCTTTGTCACAATCATCTTCACATGCTGGGTGGTCCAAGCTATCTCTCCCTCACAGCTTCTTTCAAAATGCTATTAGGGACGTCCCAGTGGCACAGTTGGTTAAGTGTCCTACTCTTGGTTGCAGCTCAGGTTGTGATCTCAGGGTCATGAGATCAAGTCCCACATAGGGCTCCACGCTGAGCGTGGCATCTGCTTGAGATTCTTTCTCCCTCTCCCTCTGCCCTTTCCACTCATGGCTTGCTCACATGCTCTCTCTCTCTCTCTCAAATAAATAAATCTTTTAAAAAATGCTATTAATCTCTCAGAAGTTCTAGGTCAGAGTGTTGTCTTCCTGCCACACGTTGGGCTCTTGGGGAAAAAAGGCCTGGGTTCTGCCCCTGATGTACTTAAATACAAATGAATACAACACACTCTGATCACTTCCAGATAAATATCTACTTATAAATATTTACTGATATAGTGCAAAGAGAATACTTAAGTCTGAGAGCATGTGGAGGGAATAATCAAAAAGGTTGGTGTTATGCAGGGAATATTCTTACTCCTTTTTTAAGAAAGAGGAAACTGAAGCAGGGAGGTTGGAGAATATCAAGGTAAGAAGATGGGAATAAGCCCTGACTCTGGCTGCCTTTGGGGTCAAATACCTGCTGTTACTTGACTCTGGTCTTGGTGTGTTTTGCTTCAATTTTCAGGAGAGTCCGATGGGTGAACTCCCCTGCTTGGGGCTGACTAGATCTTGTGTCAGCCCCTCTTATCAAGTTAGCTATGGCTGGCAGGGGCAGTCAGGACCGTGAAGGTCAAACCTGGGTGACCATGCCTACCTCTTCAGCAAATGATTCAAGTTCCCACCAAAAGAGAATTCTTCATGGCTTTCTGAGAAGGTGGTATAGGCCAAATAGCCTTGCTCAAATCTTTTTTTTTTTTTAAGATTTTATGTATTCCTTTGATAGAGAGAGAGCATGAGCAGGAGAGGAGCAGAGGGAGAGGGAGCAGACTCCTGCTGAGCCCGGAGCCCAATGCAGGGCTCTATCCCAGGACCCTGGGACCATGACCCAAGCCCAAGGCAGACACTCAACCACCTGAGCCACCCAGGTGCCCCAGGCCCTGCTCAAATCTATCTGTCATTCTTAATAAGTCTGATTCTCATCAGCTTGTCCACAGCTCTATTTTCCAGGCAAGAATAAAAGAGCTGGGTCTTAAATATGGAAAAGTCTGGTATCTTTTCTGAGCGCAAGAGGAATTTTTAAAAAAGAATGGGTTCTAAAATTTTTTTGTTTGTTGATGAAAATGATCACTTTTTTCCTAATAGCCAATATTTTAATCTGAGAGTATTTCTGTTTCCCCCATTTTCTCAATCATTTGAATTCTGTCAACTTTGTAGGATGATTGGAAGGTAATAAAGACAAAACATGAAAAAAATCTGCTGACATTATCCAAATAGTTTATAAAAGATTATTTGTTGACCATCCAAAAATGAGGTTATATAGGAAAACAAGGGGGAATAAAGACTAAAATATGGTAAATTGAATGTATTAATTAGAACTCTTGGTTACACCGAGAGAAAACCAAATAAAATTGACTTAGGTGAACAGTAGAATGTATTACAAATATACTGGATATCTCATAGAAACTAAAGACGCAAATCAGGAACAGTCAGAATCTAGGGTTTGAACATATTCAGGACCTTCCGATCCTCTGGCTGTTCTGTCATTTGCTCAGAAGTCCACTTCTAGACTAACCGAGGTGACCAGTTGTGTTGAAGAACTGTAAGTACGGAGTAGGGAGAGTGAACAGAAAGACGGTACTGTTTTCACAAGAAGTAAAAAGAGTAACCAAACAGAGATGCCCAAAAATAGAGAAGCAAGACAGCAAGAGAAAATAGTTTGTCACGTTCTTGAATATTTAGAAATAATCAAGGTCCGTTTTAAGGGTCAAGTACTCTCCTCCATTTTAAGGAAAAACTCCTTTATTCAGGGACATAATTTGAAAGACATACCAACAAATGGCAAGCTTTCTATTGTGCAATAGACAGGTTTATTGTGCTCTTGGCCTATTGTGCAATGCTTAATTACCAATATTTATTGTGCGCTCCTTATACACAAAGTACTCTTTTAGATATGGGGTGGGAGTTACAAAGATGAATGGGTCCCGCCCCCAAAGAGTTTACACTTTGTAGTCTGTAGAAGGAAAAGCAAACTATAATGACTATGTCATTCTAACATAAAGACTGATCACTTGCTAAAAAGCAAATTCTGAACTATTCCATCATTTCTTCTAAAAAAGAATTTGTGGCCTTTTTTAAAAAAAAAGATGCTCTATATGATGCATCACCACAATCTGTGGTCTGAACTAAATTTGCAATCTGCTAAGTGTCCTCAACTATAAGTTGCATACTGATGACACAACTGAAGACAGTGAGTGAAAATGTTTCCTGTTTCTGTTTCTCACTCACCTTTTGGGGAAAAACCAGTGAAGAAAGGGGAAAGTAGGTTAGTTTTTATAAGTGATGTAAGTGTGCTTTTATTTACTATTGTTATTATTTCCAAGTCTGGTTTTTAAAAGTCTGAGAAGTTGAGGGGATTAAGAGCTTGGTGAGAGAGGAGGTTTGGGGGAGATACCAGCAGGTGGCGCTTGTCTCCTCCGACGAGATTAGAATATTTTAGGCATCCTAGAATCCTGTAGGAATTAGGGGCGACTGTGCATGCACTCAACGCAAGTGACATAGATCATGTCGTACTTTAGTGCCGAGTACACGAAGTCACCGGTTCCAGCCTCTTGGCCAGGCCATCATCTTTCTGCACTACCATTTGAAAGACTGGCTCACCTACCAGCGGGGTTGTAGTATTTTCTACAAGCATCCTCATCTCTCCTAGCCGAGTCGCTCATAGCGACCGTCAAGATGGTTATCTCGCAGAGATGAAGGCCCTAGAGAGCTGGAGCTACAACTTCAGAAGGGAGTGAGGTTTTATCAGTCTTCAGCTGGACTGCCCTGTGCTGTCAGATGTTCTGTCGCCACGTCTGGGCAGAACGTGAATTTGCTTACACGTCAGTCCCCATGTCCTTTGGGGGCAAGAAGAAGCGGCACAAGGACACTTTGACGGTACCTGTGCGTAGGCTCAAAATGTGCTGAGTTACTGGCTAGTTTTGGTCACTGGTTTTCTTACTTCTCTCTGCACCACTCAACTTCGGGGCTCAGTCAGCCATAGCCAGCCCCTCTCCCTCATGTGCCGGTGGATTCTGTCCACCATCAAAACTACCCTCATTTTGAAAGTCCTTCCTTTCTGTGTTTGTAGTTTCCCCCCATCGCTCAGAATACCTTCTGCCCTACTCTTATTTGTCTCTTCGCCCTGAGGTCCAGCCAGGGACTACACAGGAAGAAGGGCAACCCTACAGTCTGAGGGCTGCAAGTTCGCATCCCGCTCCGCCTCGGACTGCACCGGTGACCCTAGACAAGTTTTTTTGTTTTGTTTTGTTTTGTTTTGTTTTGTTTTGTTTTGTTTTGTTTTAACTTCCTCTGTACTCTGGGGAAACAGGTTTTCCGCTCATTGGATCCCTGGATTAATGAGATAATTAATGTAGACTACTTAGACCACCACTGGTGCATTGTAGGCGCCCAAATGCCAGGGGTCTGACCCCACGGTGAGAAACTGCCTCTTGGGGAGCTGTGGGTCAGAAAGCCAATATAGTTCGCAGAATTGAGATAACCTCTCACCTCCTCATGATATCACTGTGTTTCAAACCCCATCTATTGCCTCGCTGGCGTCTTCTCAGACCCTCTAAAACCTCTTGTTCCCCCCCCAATACCCTGGGCAGCAAAAAGAAACCCAGGGGCGTTGGGCGTCTAAACGAAGATCACCCCGGAAATGGGGCCCGGCCCCCTGACGTACCCCCGACTGCCGGGCGGAGCGCAGCGAAACTGCGGGGGGCCGGCCGGGCTCGGAGCGGAGGAAGGCTAAGGGCTGGACTGACAGCTTGGGGTAGGAGGAGGAGAGAGCAGGCGGCGCGGCGGAGGAGGGGAGAGCCGCCTAGAGGAGGGAGCAAGGGCGGGAGGAGACACATGCGCGCTGCCTGCCGCCGCCGCCGCCGCCGCCGCAGTCCTTAGCTTCCCGGGGACAGGAAACCTTCGAGACCGAGCTGCCACTGCCGCCTCCCCGCCTGCCCCCCATTCCGCGCGCCTGCCACACCCTCCTCCCCTTCTTCCAGTATCTTCCGGTGGGGCACTGTAGGGACTCGGCCCGCGCTGCAGTCTCCCCCTCCCGGGGGAAAGCTGTGACCCCCCCCGCAGGAGCGGCGGGGCGGGGTGGGGGGGCCCGGGAGAAGATGGCGACGCCGGGAAGCGAACCCCAACCTTTCGTCCCTGCCCTCTCGGTGGTTACTCTGCACCCACATCACCATCCCCACCACCACCACCACCACCACCATCAGCACCACGGAGGAACCGGAGCCAGCAGCGGGGTCGGGGGAGGCGGCGGCGGCGGCGGCAGCGGGGGCTTCAACCTGCCCTTGAACCGGGGGCTGGAGCGCGCGCTGGAGGAAGCGGCCAATTCCGGGGGGTTGAACCTCAGCGCCAGGAAATTGAAGGAATTTCCCAGGACCGCGGCCCCAGGGCACGACCTCTCGGACACGGTGCAGGCAGGTGAGAAAAGGCCGAGGGGAGCCAGTGGGTGTGGGTGACTGGCTGTCGCGCCTTCCCCTCGCCGCGGCCCGTCAGATCTGGCCTCGCTGGGGGTCCTCTGGCCGGTGCTCTCCAGAGTAAGGAACACGCGTGGGCACGGGAGAGGCGGGCCCCGCGGAGGGCAAGGTGGCCCCCGCCTGGCCAGAGAACTGGGGTGCGCCTGGCTGCGGCGCCCGCGAGCACGCGGGTCTCCGGCTCCCCACCCTGCGGCGGCCGCTCCAGGGAAGTGGCGGCCCGGCGGAGAGTCACGGGCGCGCTGTGGAAGTGGGAGGTTTGGGGCGGCCGCATGGGCTTCCCCGGCCCCGCGCAGAGGCCGGGAAGCCGAGCGCCGGGTGGGTGCTTCCGACCAAGGCAAGCCCGGTTCGCGACAGGCGTCGCCCGTCCGGACTGGGAAACCGAGACAAAGGTGGCGCGCCCGGGGCCGACCCGAGGGCAGCGGCGCGGTGCCGCTAGGCCCCCTCGCGACATCACCGGGCGGTCGGGCAACTTGGTGCCGACTGCGAGGAGGTGCCAGGCTTCCTCTTCCTGCGCCTGTGCGAGGGAAGAGTCGCTGCTGTTGTCGCCAATCCGAATGGGCAGCCACTTCGCCGGCGGTCGGCTTGGCTCCCGCGTTCCTTGCCTTTCGCTAACCGCCCACACGGTTTGGTCCTGCCGCCGAGGCTCCCTGGTTCTCAGTAACCCGATCTATGTGGGGGCCCAGGAGGGGACGGCATGGCATATTAAAAGAAAAGTAATTAAAGTGAGCCGGTTTTCCTGTGTGAACCCGACAAGTTGTAACTCGCGCCAATGAGCAGCCAGCTCTTTCAAGTTATGTCATGTATTGACATATTTCTGAGACGTCTGCTTTCTCTTTGGTAGTTGGAGTTCCTGGAGCGGGATCTATAAACAGGAAGGAGGGTGGTGGAACTCGATTCGGGGCTTGGGATCCCTTAGAACTGCCTTGGTTTCCGACCATCCGGTTCAGCTCCCAGGGGGGAGGGTTTGTATCTTGGCAAGCGCCCAACATTTCCCAGCGCAGTGGGTGCCCCATTTTGGAACCACTGCCCAGACCTCCTGGCTGTCATCACCTCATGGGCTGAGTGTCAGACCCCTTGGATACTGGATGGCTCAACTCTCAGCTGCAGATCTCCCAGTTTCCTCTCCTGGGGGAAAAAAAGGGGGTTGGGCGAGGGAGCGAGGCTTTTGGAGCTAGGTTTCCAGTGCTTTTTGTTTTCGACTTCAATTCAGTAAACATCTTTGAGTGTCTTAATGAGTATTTAGAAAGAATTCCAAGTGCGCTGGAGGCAAAAAAGGGCTCTTTAGGGTCATTAAACTTTGTGACTTGCATTAGGGATAGTCAGGAATGGGCGAAAGGGAGGGAATTTCCAGAGTTGAGCTCTCAGCAGCTGGGGAGTCTCTCGATAGGAGCTCTTAGTTACATTTTCTCAAGTGGAAGTTATTCCAAGAATTGCCTGAATCATTAACTTAAAAAAAAAAATCTGTTGTTAAGTTCTACTTCCCTTTTGCCTTAGAGTATACCAGGGATTATGGAAGGATTGGATATGACTGGGGAAAACAGAGCTGGCATAAGCAATGATACGTGTTTGTACGGTCAGTAGGGGGGTTCGAAAGTTGTTGGTCACTTCAGTTATGCAGACGTTTATTCCCAAATTTGAGTGAACTTGATGTGTCTGCTGTGTTGGCATGTCTTTGAGACCTGTGCTTTTAAAAGCAGGGACCACCTTTTTCAGTTAAGACCTTGCCATGTGAGGTAAATGCTCCACAATATTCCTGTTCTCCTCTCTTGCTTGCTTGTGGTGAACATAGGCTGTGAGTTTTGCCAGTTTTTAATTATGACCCTTCCTTGCACATATTTAATGTTGAGAGAATTCTAACTAGTTAAAACGCAGAATCTTAACATGAATTTCCCAACCAAAAAAAAATGCAATATTAGTTATGGGATAGGGAATGTCACCAACGTTTGTAGAAATGTAGGACATCCTGGAAAGGATAAAGTGTGTTCAGTGTAGCCAGCTATTTCTCGTGAAATGTGAGTACTCCTATGTATTCAAGGGTTGCTTCTGCAAAACATCTTTGCCTCAGGTCAAAAGCTGGCTGTAAAGCAAATGTATTCTGCCCTTTGTTCTAAAGAAATATTTACTGATCACTGTTCTTTATTTGGAGGAGCAAAAATCAAAATAAAGCAAGAGTTAAATCACCCCCAGTTTGCACAGTGTTGCCATTTACTGCATATGAAGTTCCAGCCAAGTGGAGAGTATGAGGAATATGACATACAATAAAGATAGTGGTTTCTCCTGGTTAATATTTAGTTTACAGAAAAGCTCTTAAAATCAGAATGGCACATGAAGATTCTTAAAGACCTGAGATGTAAAGTGTACTTTTTCATAAATTTTGTAAAATGAAGAGTGACATAGAAAGCTTTTTCTCACTGTTCAGTTGTATAACACAGGCCATTTGGTTTATCCCCTAGCAGCCAGATGCAGACCTGCACTCTTGGGCAAGGTAACCTATCTGAACAGAGTGGCAAACTGGGATGTGAATGCAGAAACATAGAGGCCGGGGGCCGCTCAGTAGATGTCTAAACTCTGTCACTAAAGTGCATACATATTTTTCACAGGAAAAAAATACTCGCAAGCCCTCACTCAAAGTGCCTCAGATAGGCTCAGAGCCTTTTGATTTGCTCATATTTGAGTCGAAATAATCTTGTTGTCAGCGTCCAGTCTTTTTTCAGGTTGAGAAGGTTCGGATAGAAAGGCTGACTTAGGCAGGTGTGGTGACACAGGTGACACTGAATGGGAGAAGCATGAACAAAAAAACCACGATTAGCTCTTGGTGTTTGCACTTTGCAGTGTGCCAAGGACTTTATCTGCATGATCCCGCTCAGTCCTCACTGGAAGCCTATTCATATCCTCACTGATGGTTGGGGAGAGATCGCAATTGAGAGAAGTCAGGTCATATGCTCAAGATCATACCCTTACTTAGATGGTGAGCCAGTGACTGGACCCTGACAGTTTCACTTTGGCTTTTATGTTCTTGACCATTTTCCTGTGAAGCAGAGAAGAGGTGGAGAGGAGCAGAATCCGGGAGGCTGTTTGACGGTTCATTCAGCCAACATTCATTCCACAAGAACCTGCCAAGCCCTGCTAAGTGCCAGGCACTATTTTAGGCTCCAGGGACCATCAGAGAATCCCTGTATCTCTTCATATGGAGTTTCCATTCTGTTTGGAGGGGGATGGGGAGAGAAAGGAGGAAATTGATTTTGCAGAATGAGTTGGAAGATTTACAGTATAAATATAATCCCTTGTTTCAGAAAGACACATGCTGCCTTGATTTAAGGTGACTTGAGGTAGCTTGTAACAACAAGAGCACAAAGGATGACTAGTAAGACAGAGAAACTGAAGCATAAAATTGGGCCTGATAAAAAGAAGTACACATGTGCATCAGGAAAGCAAACTTTTTTTTTCTAGTGCTGATTTATTAAGTGTATCATTTTGTGATGAAGAAGTTCAAGATGGTGTGGAATATGACTGAGAAAAAGCAAATCGAAAAGAGGAGTAAGAAAAGAAAGTGTCTGTCTCAGATTGATTGCAGGAGGGGCTAGAAAATAAAAAGGAAGCCCTTGGACTTGATGCGCAGACAGTTGGTGAGAACTGGTCCCATTAAGGAGAGGGTGGAGGGGAGCCTGGGTGGCTCAGTCGTTAAGTGCCTTCGGCTCAGGTCATGATCCCGGGGTCCTGGGATGGAGCCCCACATCGGGCTCCCTGCTCAGCGGGAAGCCTGCTTCTCCCTCTGCTCCTCCCCCTGCTTGTTCTCTCTCTCTCTCTTTCTCTCAAATAAATAAATAAAATCTTAAAAAAAAAAAAAGGAGAGGGTGGAGTGTATCATGATAGTATCTTTTTGAGGTGGTTGGAAGCAGGAAAGACTGTACGGGAAATGAAGAGCCTACCCAAGCAGGAATATAGAAGTCTGGCATAAAAAAATGCTCACGGTGGTCCCGTATGTGCCTGTGTGGAATGTATAGGAGATTGCAAGGTGAAGATAAGATAGGAATGCATGAGAAGGTAAGTAATAGTTCAGGAAGTCCCAGGAGCCTCAAAGCAGGTCAAGGTGAGATGCTGAATCACATAGACAGACACTGTCTGTGAAATTCAGAAGAAAAGGTCTTTTCAGTGAAGCTGGTTAGGAACGACTTTCATAGCATAGGCATGGTTTGGGTCAGATTTTATAGGATGGATTAGTTTTAGATAGAAGTGCCCGTGGACATTCTGTGGTCAGAAAGATATTTCTGAGATGTGGAGTGAGAACCTGATGGCCTGAGATCTGTGACTAAAACAGAAAGAGGCATTTAAGCCTGTGCCTCTGGTCCTATTCTCCCTGCCCACTATCACCATGTAATGAGGTCACAGAGAGCGAGGCTCTTAGGACCTTTTATTTGAGGACCCTGGAGATGGCTGAGGCCTGGGATTTGTCAGCCTATGGGACTAACACCCTAGTCTGTCTGAGCTACCTCTCTCAAATGTCTATACAGATGCAAAGAATCTTCTTGGAGATTTGTGGGCAGGCTTATCTGCTGAATGCTGACTTCCCCCACTCCCCTCCCATCCTATAGCGACTGAATCCTTAGGATATTAGCACTCTTTTGTCATCAGAATTCATACAGGACTTGATAAAGTAATCTGTGTGTTCTCAAATACACGTTCTGTTCCATAAATTTGGCCACCGAGAGTTTTCATTACAAATGTGATGAAACTTCTGAAATCATGTGGCTTCTTAAAACTTATGTTCTTTTATAGTGATATTTAGTTTCAGATTATTTTTCTGCTATTGAATTAAATTTATTAGTTATTGCCGTACCTATCATTTATTGTGGCCATCACTATCATAGAAATGTCTACATTTGTGACATGTATCTTCAGTGCTTTTCCATTCATAAATGATCAGTCACAGCTTTTCCTTCCTAT